CATATATTCGGCATTGTTTACGGTCAGGTGAACAGATTTTATCGGTGTACGGCGCAGTGAGGAGTCGCCGCGACTACTTTTGATATTAAATCAATTTCTCTCGATTTATTTTTATTTATCTATAAAAATTGGTACTCAGTATTCCGCTCGCTTCCATTGTACCGGGTTTTTTTACCTATTGTATATTGCATTTGCAAACACGGACATTCAATTGCTTTTTATAATATGCAGTTTTCAAAACATGGTTCTAGATTACGGACCGCTATCCCGGCCACGGTCTCAATTAGGTGTGCGATTTTATAAAATTACATATTCGTTTTTTGCCTCACCACAACGCTGTCCCGCAAAGCTCTTACATTTTCATGTGCAAAACAAAATTATCTCATCTCGCAGTCGTGGGCTCGCGTTTTTGCCAGAGCGAGTTCGTAAGTGATGGATTAATGTGCAGAGCGGAATTCCCCGCTGCACCGTGTTTCATTCCTTCCCCTCTAACAACAGCCCTCTTTGCATGAAAATCTCGAGCCCCTCCGCGTGCCCCTGTGTGCGCCCGTATTCAGTCGTCCTCACGCGTCTGATTATTATATTCCGTGTTACGTGCGTTAAGATCCCCATTTTATTGCTCTCACACGGAATTTATCGCTTCGAGTGTACAACAGCTGTGTCAACAGGTGGCGTGCGTCATTTTACGTAGATAGACATATTACGTGAAGTGTGTGCGAGAAACGTGATGAAGAATACGTTATCTAATGATATCAACCTATCAAGTTGTGACGCTTATGATCACAAATTCGCGATCGGTACTAGAGATGCTTACAATTATACTTTACATTGTTGCCTCTTTCATTTGATATCAATTAAGTGAATATTCATAAGCAAATAACTGAAAAATAATTTTTTGAATAACGCTTGCATGCCTCACGTTATCTATTTTGATTTAGATTTAACTAATAATATATCACCGGTAAAATTTACTTCGACAACACAATAATGCAACGTGTAGTGTATACAATTCGATATATAATTATATTTTTATTGTATACATAATTATATTATTGTATAATATTATTATTGACCAAACATTAGTTAAAGTTATTATATTATTTGTGGTGTATCCCCCTTCGATTCGATTAACATCGTATAAAAAATTAATCGAATCGATGTTGATGCGCGATCACGAATACCAGCGCCTTTACGTTTCCTCGATAATCGTTTCGTGACGCCTCTCGCGCTCTCTGTTCTCCAGCGTATCGCAGCGAGACTGCGGTCTCGAACATGAAATTCCGCGGGAGATCTCATCCCCGATTTCATTATCGGTAAGTCGCCACGATCTAATTATTGCAAACCGGCATTATGCATCCACAATGAGGGATAATTATTTTAATTATCCCGTGCGCGTCCCCGACGACAAACGAGCTGCATTTTTACGGTGGTGCGGGCAGCGTTCCTTTCTGCATCGCTTTTCTTTTCGTTAGATGGTATCTCTGCCTTCTCGCCCCCTTTCTTCTTCCCGATGCCCCCTTTCCCGCTATATCCTCTTACGCTTCGCATAATCCATCGCCTCGGGTTAAAATCTAAAATCCACAATCACTCTATCTTTCCTTCTCACTTTACTTCCTCTCGCTCTTCGTGGCATTCTCTCCCTCTCTCTCTCTCTCTCTCTCTCTCTCCTTTCCCTCGCTTTTCCCAGGAACGTTTTACTATCCTTTCTAATCTGTATCCCTCCTCTTCGCCCAGCGTCGACAGAATATGAGGCTTTACCGGCGTTTGTATGTTAACTCTGTCATTTGCAAGAACGGACGGACAAAAATGCTCTCGCGGCGTACATTTCAAAGACTCGTAACGTTCCGTCCATCTCTTGCCACGTCCATCTCACGCAGCCCATCCACTTTCTCATATATACTCCTACGTTCTCCCTCTATCCCTTCCTCTTCCATAAAAATCTCTCTCTCTCCCTCTCTCTATCTATCTATCTCTCGATCTTTTTCTATCTGTCTCTTGCGTTAGCTTTGCGGCTGGATGAAAAAATGAGTGGGCGGAATGAAACGGCAGAGGGAGAGGGAGATGCGAGGAGGCGGAGGCGAAAGTGGCGCAGGGAAGAGAGTGGAAACATCGTTCGCGAAAGCTTATTTCCAAGCTCCTTCGGCAAGAACGGATAGGTCTCCTTTATCACGCTCGCAATATACACCACCAAGGTAGCTACTCGCAAAGGTATCCCGGATACGAAGCACGCTGCTTTTAGAAATATCGTTCCCGCTAAGCGACGACGCCGGCGACGGCGACGACGGCGACGACGGCGTTACTCGACGGGTGGTCGTCGCGACGCACTCGTGGGGCAAACGCTTTTTCATGCCTTACGTTGTTGTTTCACCGCGGCACAAGCCCGCTTTCTCTGACGGCAACAGACCTCGGCGCGGGGAATAAACGCGCCAGTCAAACCGTGACAGAACGATACGCCGCTTTTTACGGCTTAACCATGTTTCTACGTATTCCCCGCTTAGCATGTTACACCGAATGACACGATTCTACTTCTGAATGCAATCTGCGAGTTACTTCTGCCGGACCGAATGAAGCCTCCGCGCGCTTGATTACGCCGGATTTATGCTCGTATTAGTCGCAAAATCGCAATAATACATAAGATGCAGCTACCCCGTCCAGGGGTTCATTTCGTTGTAAACATTCGAAAAACAAACTTGTAGCATGTAGTGCAGATCACAGGACTTCATTAACGTATGGTCGGAAAGTTCGGTAAACGACACGTTCAATTTCCAGGCCGATTCTCTGAACAATGACAGCGAACTATCACGTATTCTCTCTCATTACGTCGGTACTGATTAAACAATGACGACGGAATATCAGATTGTCTTTCATTACACCGTACAGATAATCAATGTATCGATTATATGATGAGGAACTGATGGATGTTGGGTCGGTTTCTCACAAAGAATTCACATGCGAGTCGATTCACTGGAAACAACAGTGTGACAATTGGCAATCTCATATACGAGCCATCGTGAATGAATTTCAGTCATTCAATTCGATTACCATCCGCCTGTTCTACTGAATACGCTTTGTTATTCATAGAATTACAAACAAATGTAAAAGCGAGTTTCTAGGATTTCTCGATTCATTCCATCATGTAGATTTATTACATCACATGACTGCAGTTATCAAATTACTTTTTATCAAAGTACTACAAAAAAAAACGCGTGTAAAACTTTGACGAGATTATTGTTTTATTATGGGAATAATTGAGTGCCTAAAAGCTTTCGCGTTTTACGGCGAAATTTTTAACCTATAAGGAATATCTTTAAAAGGATTGCGACAGTAGAATTCAGGTGACTGACGTAATAAAAACAAGTATTGCTTGATTACATTTTGTATTCTGGCCTGGTGCGTGCAGTTTTAACAGGCTCGTCACGCGAGCATTTAGAGTTTTTCGTTTACGAATTCTCGTAAAAACGATAATCATAGGTTTATAGCTGATTCCTCTTCACCAAGGTGCCTTCGCACCTGGCCTCTGCCCCTGTGCGAAATATTCACTTGGTTCGTGCAGATTTGTGAGGGATTTCTCAACCGAACGGCAGGAGGCGCGCCATTTTCAGCACGTTTGTCCTCGCATAGAAACACGCTTTTACGATTTTCGCCAAGCCCTGCGAATCACCGTCGGGAATTCAGGTTTTATAGACCTTTTGCTGCACGAGCGCAGCCGCTCGGACCAGAAAATTACGTAGCACTGTATTCCACCGTGTTCAAATGGAATCTTTAACGAAACGATTTAAGCAGTCGCGGATTTTTCTACATTCTAAAAATTCCAGCCGCTACACGGGAATCATATTTATATTTAACCTATTCGCTCGTTTATTACCGCGATCGTTCCATTTTCCATTTTATTTCTCTCACGTCACGGCGCTTCTCAAAGGAGAAAAGACGAAGAATTAAATTGCATAAAGTTCAAGAATGCAGGTGCGATAAAGTTCATCGTACGTGCGACATACAATATTCTCGAGCGTTTTTCCTATTTACCCTTTACGCCGCACGAGGCATTTCCGTAAAGATAGCGAAATAATTGAAAGACCTTTACGCGCGACGACGGCGGCAAAATAATTCTGGGTCGCGCCGTAAGGAAATTAGATTCACCAGACAAAAGTTAGGAGACGAAAATGGAAAAAGCTGGCTCTGAAAGCTTTTGGATGTAGCTGTTTAAAGCTCGCTGCTCTATGCACCGATTCACGGTTTCGCAAAATTCGCTCACACAAATCGAGCCATTGGCTTACAATTTCTTCTTTTATCTTCTACTAAATATACTAACGTATGTATATTTGCAGTATATAACAACTAAGTGGTCATAATCGTGGCACATTTATAGCAATCGGCAAATTAAGCATGATGAAACAAATAATTAAATAAATTTGGTTGCATTGCATGAATCTCGAAACCATTTAATTTTTCGAATGATATCAAAACGAATTTATTTTGTTTGAATAAAAAAAAAATCTCTTTTGCTGGGAGATAAGCTTTTATGTTCGATATTGATAAACAAATTCCTTTCAGTTTATCTCATCTATTCAATATCATATATATTAAGCACCAATTTTAATTTTTTACTTCCTCAAATAAAGTTTTTTAAAGATAACACCAGCTTTTTTTTTTATATACATAACATTGAAAAGGATTTTTAAGTTATCTGTATTTTTATGATTAAAAACAAATATTTATCAAAACAAAATATTTAAAAGATTATTGATGTAATCTAATTTACTATTATATGTATAAATAATAATTCTATACTATGTGTATTTGACAAAATCTTTGTTTGTCGTTATTCGTACTTAAAAGAGTTATGATTTTATTATTATAACTTTTTCCATTAAGATTTTAATATAGAGATAAAAATAAAGAAATCACTATTCGCTGCGTGATTAAGAGTTTGAAAAAATGTTACAGCGAGAATGCTTGAGCAATAATTACTAATCTAATTTTTGACATTTAAATGTGCGCAGGGCAGCAGTAACGGCCGTGTCTTGGCATCCACACGGCACGTACTTAGCGTCCGTCGATCGTGCCAAGACGGTGACAGTCTGGGGCGACCACGTTTGACAGGAGGAGTGATCCCGGGACAGACGATTGTTGTTTCACGCATGAGAATCTCGTACCGTCTTTCTCGCAGATGTGAAAATGAAACGAACATGCGAACTCGCGATACCCGTCAGCAATCCCGCGAGAAATCACAGTGGTGGGCACCCAGCGGGATAATAATCAAAATCATCGGTCGGTTTGGCCGCGCGGGTTGTAAAGCCTGGTAAGGACGCCGTTTCGAAGCTGTAAAGCGCAGACATCGCACTGAACAAATCCACAGCAGTGGTAGGGACTATTGTACATAAAATTGCACTTATTGTTACTCCCAGGTTGTAAAGATCCCCTATTTAGAATAGTAACCTGCGCGCCACGGCCGCGCCGCGCCGTCTATCCCCGGGAAATTCAAGAAATTATCGTAATAGTAACTGGTGTTTTTTCCGAGACTCACTAGATATAAGCTTTCTTTTGCTAACTATAAAGGACAGCGTCGCGTGTCATTAATTGTCTGTATGATTCGGTCGCTCTCGGGATCGGAGATTCATAATATATAATGACATCCATGGTGCTATGACAAAATGTTTACACGGGTTGAATGTTTGCACGGAATTAATCCGCGATATATACCAAAATTATTATTTCTTTTTTTGTTTTTGTCCCACAAAAAAGTCAATTATTATATATTATATATTTTCTAGAGGAGTCGAATGTTGCCAACATTCGAACATAATAAATGATATTTTTTGGAATATAGTGAAATAAAGAGATAGTGCTGAATAGGAAACGCGATTAGATTTGGATGAGATTATTTCCCCAGAATTAACTGTGCATTATTATTAGAAATGAGGAATATTCGCAGTTTGAATGTTTCCAGAGAGAAGATAATTAACTTATTTTTGTCATACATCACGTATTTTTGGAATATAAGAATTGAGAATTATTTTAGAGATATCAGATGAATGCAAAAGTTCTTTTTACAATGCAAAATTAATTCTGATGGGACAATCTCGCTAATTTGTGGCACTGTAATTTGATTCGTCGCCAGACTCTCCGCCGTTACTGGAATGACATACGTCTTAATACAAGTTCTGATAGAACGGAAATCAGAATAGGGATTAAGCGAATAAGCACAATAACATATTGATATTTAATTAATTGCAGGTATATATGATTTGTATGATTAATGTTAGAAAATCGTACGCCAATCAAAGTCGATCATTATTTTTATTGATAAATGAGACGATTGGCTAATTAAAATTATTAACGTGCAATTTTTTATTGCAAAATAAACTATTGGATATTAATCCTTAGAAAAAAATTATAAGTATCTGATCGAAAAGAACAGAATACTCCGTAGAATAATAAAATAATTTAGATTTGTAAACACATCAGATTTTTATGTTTATAATAATTTTCTAAGTGTTTCTATAATTATCTTACAGTATACTCAAAAGTAATAATTTATTATCAATAAATGCTTATTCGGTTACACATTAATTGTCACACAAATTTCTACCATCTATACAAATATTTTTTTTATTTGTCTACGGAGCTCTTCGATCATTATTTGATATTATAAATGTATTTGCGTAAATATCTGGCAGCGACTTGTGTGAATTTAAAATTCATGTACACACGTTCTGTGAATCACACATTAAATAATTAAATAATCCTTTAATGGGCGTTGATCACATAATTAATTCATCATATTACTTTATTTGCAATTTGTAAAACGATTAGCTTCCAATTATCGTACATAGAATTGGTCATTGGTTTGCATAATATTAAGGGAAAGTTTTAATTTTTAAAGATATAATTTTTCAATAAATTTCTGCTCCAATGAAAATTTCAGATGTAGAATATAATTATAAAATCAAATTCAAGTACTAAATTGTAAAATACAATTGTTTAAAACATTTTCGAAAGTATTAGACTTTTATATGAATTTTTCAGGTTCATGTTGTAATCTTCGGATTAAAATCTTTTATCTATATTTCATTTAATAATGCATACCAATGATCATTCCTTTTGTCATTGCAATAATAACTACTGGCTCACGTTTCGAGCGAACAATCAATTGCGTCCAAAATATTATGTAATAATTTTTTAATACTGTATATCTCATTTTCGACAATTAAACCTACACAGTGTACTCTATATTTTCTCTGTATACAATACTATAACAATATTAATCGAAATATTATATACATTGTTCACATATGTAAATATATATTAAACGTTCCCCTCTTGTATTTTGTAAAAATATGGCTTATTCTTTAAATACCAATTATGCCAATAAATCCTGATTAATTCTAATTATTCCTTTTAATTCCAGCAACTCAGGCAACAGGATATATTATTTACGGTAAGTAAAGATAAGAGTAGTAATCACATTATTATTTATATTTAAGATGTAATGACGAATGTTGCATGTATAATAATAAAAAAATTAACGTACACGGAAAAAACGATTTTGTTAAAAGGTCTACAAATTTTTCTAAATACAGATCTGAAAATAATTTTTTATTGAATCATCAAAATAACTGAGTCGACAAGGCACACAGGGGATAAACATTGCTGTAAAAAGATCGGAAG